GTAATGTTTTTACAAATCCAAAATGCCCTGCTGATTTTGTGTCATGGCAAAGTTGCATGAATGTGATTCTTTGGGTTGCTGGTATATATAACTTTTCCCCTACCCAAGGCAACCCGTCTCTCATTGTGCACACATTTTTGTTTTTCTGAAACCATTCATCTGATTCCAAACTTTTCCGAAATTCAATTCCAGTTTGGCTATTCAGTTGTGGTTTTACTTTAGCGTGGGCTCTGGTGGTTACTGGTGCTGCCAGTTGTGATTCTGCTATCATCGGTTTAGAGTCTGTGGTTCGCGTGCTGTTATATTGGGGCATGCGAGATAGTGCATCTGCCAGGAAGTTCTTTCCCCCCCGGCAAGTGTTTGAGCTTAAATTGGAATTGGTGGAAATCTTGGGACCAGCGGGCTTGTTTGGGATTGAGCTTCCTGGGTGTTTTCAGGGCTTCCAAATTCTTGTGGTCAGTCCACACCTGGAAGGGGATTTTGTTGCCTTCTAGGAACTGCTGCCACGTGAGTAATGCCCAACGGATACCATATGCCTCTTTCTCCCATACGGGCCAGCGCTGTTCTGTTTCCGTGAGTTTCTTCAATGTGTATGCACAGGGTTGCAATATTCCTTCATTGTTTTCTTGTAACAGTATGGCCCCAATTGCCACATCGCTTGCATCTGCTTGTATTACGAAGGGCCTATCCATGTCTGGGTGTCTCAGTACTGGTTCTGCAGAAAAAAGTCTCTTTAATCTCTCAAATGCCGCTTGGCACTCCATTGTCCATTTTAGTGGTTGGCTGGGTTTTACAGAGGCTTCTCCCTTTGTTTTTAGTAAGTTAGTGAGGGGTAGGGCTATCTGAGCAAATGAGGGGATGAATTGACGGTAGAAGTTTGCAAAACCCAGGAAACTTTGTAGTTGTTTTCTTGTGCGGGGTGGTGCCCAGTCTAATACTGCTCTGACCTTCTCTGGGTCCATTTCAATGCCCTGTGGGGATATGCGATACCCTAGGTAGTCTATCTTTTCTTGGTGGAATTCGCATTTCGAGAGTTTGGCATATAGGTGGGCGGCTCGCAGTTTCTTTAAAACTGCTCTGACTAGGTTGATATGTTCCTCTTTTGATTCGGAGAAGATAAGAATGTCATCTAAGTAAACAAGGACCCCCTTAAATAGATGCTCCCTTAGAACGTCATTGATTAATTGCATAAATACTGCGGGGGCCCCTTGTAATCCAAATGGCAAGACTTTGAATTGGTAGCACCCCATGGGGCAGTTAAATGCGGTCTTCCACTCATCCCCTTCCTTGATTCTTACGCGATAGGAAGCTTCCCTTAGATCTAGTTTAGAAAAAATTTTCCCTTTCGAGAGGTGTGACAACATGTCTTTCATGAGGGGCAGAGGGTATAGATTGCTTTCACTGATTGTATTTAGGGCCCTATAATCCACGCATAAGCGTAAAGAGCCGTCCTTCTTTTCTCTAAATAGGACCGGGGCAGCCACTTTAGGCTTGGCTGGCTCAAT